TTTTACTTTTTTTTTTCAGTTGGGGAGTGATCCAGAGATTCATGCATACTAGGCAAGCACCTGGTCATTGAACCCAGGCCCTTGATGTAATTGATGGTTGTCTTGAAGATATCTTCTCAGTAGCTGAGAAATATAACATTTATTAATTTTAGTGAGTACCTGACAGACACAGTGCATTTAAACATTCAGAACATCTCTCTGAGTCATGTATCTTTGGGAACCTTATACACAAATTGCTTTGTATCAGGTGCTTCATGTTACTTAGGTTTGTGCCATTCTACTACATAAGGAATCTCTCCAGGTTTGTGACATTGTTACAAATGATAGATTTATCTTGCACATTTATGTGGTTTTGATCTATTGTGTATTCATTCTCTGCTGGTAAACTAATGATTTTTGTGTATTTCTTCTAATCAAGATTTCTCACCAGGGCATTATTTTATATTTGAACTGACATGACCGAAGATGCTTCCAGGTGCTTATTGTTGAGTTTTCTCCAGTATGTGCTGTCATCTTTGTTAGAAAGGTCTTGGGAGAATGAGGCCTTCTTGTATTCTGTCTTTAAGTGTCTCTCTTCTGGGAACTTCCATTTTTTTTTTACAGGGAATCAAAAAACTGAAAGCTTTTCCATTTTGTGTATTTTCACAGTTTCTGTTCAATGTGAATCCTTACATATTTCAGAAATCATTGAGGAGAGCCGAAGGCATGTCTATATTCTCTGCATTCACCCTATTTTCTTTTCTGTTCCTAGTACTAGTTTATTTCCTTGCTGAGATGTGATGTGAACGTTTAGGAATGAATGAACATGAAGGATTTCTCCATCTTCACACACCTGCCTTTTATACGATTTTACTATACAAGGGTTTTCTTTTTCATAATAGGATCTAGAATCCAACTGAATTTTTTTTGTCACATTGATTATCTTTATTATGTTCAAAATATCTATGACCTGATGCCTTAGATTTTTCCTTCTGTAGTCATCTTTGAAGTTCTGGTCTTTCTGTTGTCACCAGGTTCCTGAAGGTTTCCTGCATCACATATCCATGGAGCTTATGTGGGGGAAAATCCTGCAAATCCCACTCCTCCACAATGAAGTTCACAGCCACATCTTCACAGGTCACATACTTCATTTCTGCTTCCCAGTTCTCCTGTTCCCTTCACAACTGTTTCTGGGGTCAGTTGTCACAAAGTGACAGAAATTGGGTTACTTAAATCCTCTCTCAACTTGAATCAAGATAATGCCCTTTCAGACTACTTTTTTCTTCTTTTCAGATACTTCCTTCTTCCTTTCCTGCTGCCGAGGTTCTCACTAGTCTGGCCAGGCTAAACTTGAATTCTGTAGCCCAGGCAGGCCTTGACCTTGGAATTTACTGCCTCCTACTTACTCTCTACCCTATGTATGTATGTGTGTATGTATGTACATATGTATATATGTATTCTTTTTGAGATAGGCTCTCTCAGTGTACCTGGACCTGAATATCTATCTGGCTAAACTGACTGGCCAGTGAATCTGCCTCTCTCCCCATTACCCTTTCTGGCACCCTAGCACTGAGATTACAAAGTATGCTTACTGAGTGCTAGGGATACAGACCTAGGTCCTTGTGCTTGCTGGGGCAAGCACTTTACCAACAGGACTGTTTAGTCAACCACTATTTAAGGAATGATTAGTGAATGGCACGAAAAGAATTGGTGTTGGTGCTCTTGGCAACTGTAAACCAAAGAACAAGAACATTGACATTGTCTGGTATTGGAACACTTACAGATTAGGGAGGAGGGGGAAAAGGAGCAGCACAAATGGTTTTGAAGGGAGCTCAGAGCTACAGGTCTGGTAATGGTAAGAAACATTGACCAGTAACGTGGAGAACCATAAGAGGTAGACTGCTGTGGCTGTGATGTGGAAGCATTAGGGAGTTGAAAGGTCAGGAGATGGTACTGCTGGTGATGAGAGAGGAGGATGAAAGAAAAAGACACCAGGAAAAAGCATAGTCTTTCCTGCTGCACAGGGCAGGGTCACAGGCAGGGAGACTTAGCAAGATAAAATGAGAATGCCCCTGGGCAGAGGACCCTCTGGTGGCCTTCTCAGTGTTGAGGGTACCGAGATGGCCAGTTACTTTTAAAGGTAGAGGACTGCAAAGAAGACAGTGCAAGCACCAGAGTGGGAGGAGTATGTCCAGGGAATTGGCACGTGTCTCAGTTCTGGCACAGCTGGAATAATTAAGCAGTGTGTTTCTTCTATCAGTGCTCTAAACCCTTAGCCTGCAATTCACAGCAGCTTTAGAAGGAGTATTTAGGCAGACCCCAGGGTGGAGACTGGAGGTGACCTCTCTGGGTTCCTATACAGTCCTAGAACCTGCCAGTCTTAGAGTAGACTTTCTCTCTCCCTTCATTCATGCTTCCTGTGGCGTATGTATGCACTCCCTGTTGCTGTTGCTGCCATGGTTCCGAAGGCAGGACTTACGTTTCTGTGCTGGAGTCTTTGCTGATACCATTTGATTTATTATCTTTCCTTTCATCCTACTCTCTCAGCCAAGTCTCTGAGTTTTTCATAATAAAGTAGCTAGAAAGATCCCCTGATTTACAGATGCCAGTAAACATGTCCTGCCTCAGTTGTTCCACCTTTTGCCCTTCACCTTGGAAAAGGCTATACAGAGCCTTTTGCTAGAGAAGACTTTTCTTCTGGTGTTAATGCCACACAGATTCCTGTGGTTGGGGCTCCTACCTTCTGGGCAAATGTCATTATTTAGGGATACAACCCTTTAGAGTTCAGATATTCAATTCACCCATGGGATTACCTAGGTACCTTAGCAACTTGGCATTTCTGCTTCTCTGATTTCTTGGACACATTGATGTCCTTTATCAACATATTCATCCTTTATAATAACTATTCTTTCTCACTGTAGAAAATTCAGAAGACAGATATACAGTACAGAAAGCTAATCTTATCCACAGTCCTATTGCTGAGAGGTTAAACTTTTATAATTAACTGCAATAATTTTTCTAAATATCTTCATTCATGAAGTGTATTTAACTAAAATGGGGATCATGTCCAATTATAACTTAAACATATTGCTTTAGAACTCGGTTTTTTTTTTTTGGAAAAATAACTTTTTTTTACACTTTACACATTTTTGTTTAATAACCAAAACATAAAGTATTGAAAACTTTAGTAAAACAGGAGATCAAAACACAGTAAATCATGGTTCTAGGACAGCTATCAGCATGCAGTCTTGTGAGGGCAGTAGCTGAGATTTATACTTAATCATAACCAGCACCTGGAGGAATATTTTTACTGTAATCTCTGCTCAGTGAGTGTTGTGAAATCAAATCAAATGTTTGCAATTTCATTATGTGTATATGTATCAGTGTTCTCATAGCATTGTGCTGTAAGAGTTTTCTACATAATCTTTTCTATTTACTATCTTGTTTTGAAAATAAATTTTACTAGCTTAGGTCTGGTTAGTTCACTCAAGAAGAAATCATTTTGCTAGCTGGTAATAAACAGAGCTCTGATCTTTCCAGGTTCAAAGAACTTTGCCTCATTCTGTGAGGTTTAACTAAATGCTATATATCACAGAATTTCTTTGGGTAACATGATGGACCTGTTATTGATGGTCCATGTGTTGTTTTGATTGGCTCTCACTACATATCCTATGTTTCTTCGAGGACTGTCCTGGATCATAGGCAATTCATAGCATCTAGGATTTTGGAAAGTATCTCAAGGTTAACTGATAAAATATTAAAAATCTAGATTCAGATTAAATTGTTACATTGGATTTTTAATTTGGATCATGTATGAGGTAGTGTTCTCAGAAGAATATAGAATTTAGAAATATGAATTTAATCGTCAAATTACCAAAGTACTCTTGTAATTAAGAACACAGTTATTTGACAGGAAGCAATGTGTTTGAAGGAAAGTTAGTTTTATTGAAATATTCCTTAATCTCTAAGGCCAGCTACTGGTTTTGATTTTTTTTTTTTTTGGCATGCCTGGAAAAAAAAATCTTGTATTTGCTACTGAAAATTTTCTTTATAAATACCAGTGTATACAAATAATATAACTTTAACTATACTGTCAAATTTTTTGCTGTAAAGAAGCTGTTTGAATAGCTATCCAATTATATACTAATTTTTCCATTTCTGTAGAAGAGGGGATGGATTCAGTACTCAAGAGAACTCCCCCCAGTCACTTTTGCCATTCCTACTTATTATCTAGTCCCTTCATTTCTCTGGGCATTTTTCCTAATTTTAAGAGGTTAGCACTTGAGACAAGAAAATAGATCAAGAGACAGAAGTGCTTAAACATCCCTTGTTCTCAGAATTCTCATTTTTTTTATTACACACTGCTTATGGAAATAGGAAAGAGGCACTGGGGAAGGTATTTTGAAAAGAATTGATAGCAGTTCGAGTCTCTCAGATATGAACATAAGATTGAAGACTGAAGAAATAATGGACATCACTAGAATCAGCAATACCAAGGAATGCCAACATGTTAAAACTAGTTTCTAATTAAGTGGTTAAGAAGAGTATCTGTCTAATCAATTATAAGATTTCTGCAAGGATTTTAAGATCAGGCATGTCTTTCAGCACTCTTGAAGCTGAAGCAGGAGAATCACAGCAAGTTCAAGACCAGCCAAGCCACAATAGTGAGCTTGATGACAGATTGGGCTACAGAGTGAGACTCTGAAAAAAAAATAGAAATGAATTATAAGGGCAAACACCACAACAAAATCAGTGATTAAGTAGGATGGTAGGTACTTTTATTATTCCCTGAAATGGTGTTTTCCTATATAACAGCTCAGGCTGGCTTGGGACTCATAATGTAGCCCAAGTAACAATGAAGCTAGAGATCTTTATGCCTCAGTCTTCTTGGAGCTGGGAATGCAGGAATGTATCACTATATCTGGTTTTATCAAAACACTTCTAGACAGTTTCAGGGAAGTCATCAGCCACAGTGTCATGGTGGCAGTCAAGTCAACTAGCTACAACGACATCACACTTGTTGGTATAGTAACATGAATGATCTGACAGTACACAGGACGTATCTGTTCCTAGCCACAGGCAGAAAGAACACAAGAGTAAATAGGCAAAGATGGCTCACGTACCTTGAGTTGCCCTATGGCAGGGCTTAAAATCATCTAACTTGGAGCGGTTATTTCAGAGGATGAAGAAAATGAGCCTGGACAGGTAGAGTTCTAACGTTTGACCATAAATTTTTTTATGTTTTTGGTCCCAAGCAGTGACTCAAATTAAGATTCTGATGTAGGGAGCTTGAACTTGGGCTTTGGGCACACCTAGGATTCCTAGGATTCCTGTTTGACATGTTTGCTCCACTGCCTAGTGCCATCTACCTGCAGACTCTGAATCCATCAGAGCAGCTCTGACTGTTCTAATCGTAGACAAGGCCGCAGATTTGGGTATTGGCACAGGGTTGAAAATTAAGCACCCAAAGATCAATCCTGAATGACGACAGGTTTTCCTCTCCCTCTGAAAACTGTTTTCAGGAAAAGGAGAAGAGATGACAACGAAGAGGACAACCACGATGACCCTCATTCAAAGAGGAATAAGAAGGACCAGGCCTTCCAGGATCCTCGCACTATAGAGGTAGGTGCAATGGCCACACAACTTCTCCATTTGACTCATTACCCACTCTGTGGCATTTATATCTATCTCCACGATGGCAAGAGAACCCTCCCAGACACACTGATGAAAGTCTTCTCCTTGGATGCAATGGTTTTGAGGCAGAATAGGATTTTAAGTATTGCCTTAGCATAGCTTTACTCCGCAGCAGGACAGAGACAGGACCCACAGAAATGCTTTCCCAAGCCCAACCATGAGGAATGGGTTTCCAGAAATTCCCTTACCTTGCAAATGGGGAGGGAGAATCGAACCCCACCTTCTATGGTTAGGAAAGACATAAACTTGAAGAACTGAGTGGCAGGCTACTAGCTGCAATGTTCTTCTTGCTTTCTCCCTGAAAAAATGGAAAGCAAAGTGGTGTTGTGTGAAGGGAGATGGGAGAGCTTTTGGGATGCTTGTGCGGAAGAGCTGGCATTTCAACTTCACAATCTTAACTTTAACAACCAGTAAGGTGTAACACAGCATGATTTGAATGGACACATAAGTGAGGAGGGAGCATTGTAAAGGCTTTCTGGGCAGCTCTCATCAGGCAATGAGTAAGTATGGCTGACTTTTACCTTTCTCAAGCAAGAGATGAAAGGCTTATCAACGCGGGCCATTCCTCTGGGACAGATACAGGTAGGTTTTGGATAAAATGTACCTAGATCTACCTGAGTCAAGCACGTAGAGTTCTTGACCCATTGTAGTTTCTGCTGCATATGGTCACCTAAATGTGAACACTGCCTTTGTTCCCAAGGTTAGCATCTTTAGACATCTGCATGTAAATCTGCTCCCTGGATCTGAGGTATGAGATACGGTAGAGCAAACATAAAGATGAAAGCTTCTGTACATGTCTGTCTTCCTGATAGAGAACAATGTCTTCACAGTGTTCTCCCAATAAGTGAGTAAAACAAGAAGTGGAAACTCAAGGAGAGCATGTGGATTACTAGTGCAGGTCCCAGACCTTTACTCTGCTATTGATCACATGGGACCTGATGCTCAAGTTCCAAGAAAACAGCAGACAGACAAATAAGAAAAGTGCATTATGGGCATCACACCTACTTAGTTTAGGCTTCTGTGCACCCTTCACGTGCCCAACTCGGGACTATAGCTCTTTGTGACACCAGTGTTGTAGGCAGGGTAAGGGAGACTGCCTGCTGGAATGTTTGGTAACTTGCTATATTTCTTTCTGGTGCTAGCAGTTTGTGGGCTGTGCTGGTTGGTTTAACTGCCAGCCTGATAGAACTTGCCAGCACCTGAGAAGGAGATCTCTTTTTAATACTCTTTTGTATTCTTTGAAATTTCTTGATCATCTTCACCTGCACAGCATGATATTTCTTCATCATCCTCAGCTGCAATCTCTCCCTGCATCTCGTGGGTATAGATGTCCAGTCTGTGGCTGAGCACTCACAGTTGCTCAAGGCCAGCACCATCAAACATAACATGTCTCTGCATTGACGACTACTCATTGCAACTAGAAACTTCTCAAATCAGTGTTGAGAGCAATGCAGACCTAGGCAGGCAAACATGCATATTTCGAAGGCGGTTTAACAACATGATCATTTAGCAGAATGACAGTAAGTCCTCCCCCAGCACTTTGAAGTAAGTATTGACTCACTAATAATAGGTTTTGACTATGTTTATAGCACCAGGCATACCCTCATTCATGTGGAGCAGGCCTCAGATTCAAACAGGACAAGAATTGGTTAGGTGCACTAACAGAACTGTAGTCATTACGCCAGTAGACTCATCATACCTTGCAAGCCAGTATTGTATCGTTCTGGGTCCTGCAATGGGTAAGATCACTTACCTCCTTTCTCTCACGACAGCCAGCATAACACCTTCTGGGTACTGTGAACATTAGCCACCTGGGAGATTTGCAGGTGAGTTAAAGACTGACTTCCCTACGACCTGTAACAAAAGTGTATAGTATCTCAGCCACAGGCGCCTACTGACTTTTTCTGTTGGACAACCAAGAGCAGTGGCAATTGCCTTTACAGTTTGGTCACCTCTGAGGCTGGCCGGACAATAGGGAGGTAATTTGTGTGCAGGGCTGAGATTTTTACTTAATGACCTATGGCTTCAGGGAAAAACATTGTTCACCCACAAGCAGTATCCTTGTTAAAAATAGCATGTCTGGGGGCTGAAGTGATGGCTCAGTCATTAAGAGCACTGTTTGCTTTTCCAAGAGACCCGGTTCAATTCTGAACACCACATGGCAGCTCACACCTGCCTGTAACTCCAGTTCCAAGGCATCTGATGCATTCACACAGACGTAGTTACCACAACTACTTTCTACTCCCTTCTTTATTCCCTGACAATTCTTATCCATTTAGGAGCACCCCATTTATGGCAGCTCTCTGGTTGTTACTATCCTGGGCAGGCCGAGATGCTTGAGTTATTGTCATACCCAAAGTTCTACAGTCTTCCTTTATGCTGTCTATTCACATAGACATACATGGAGGCAAAACTCCAATGTACATAGGATAATACAGACCAATGTGCAGGCAAAACACCAATGTACATAGGATACGTGAATCATTAAAAATTGCATGTACGCTATGAGCTTGGGTCGAGCACATGTCCTTGTGGCGCCTGGTTTATCATCTAGTGCTTTTCACAAAGCTTCTTCATACACCCTAAGTTTTCCTTAGCTGTCCACATTCTGCCTTCTCCACTTCCTTCCCCTATTCTCATTTCACCTTTCCACCCACAGTCTGCCCCTCACATTCTCTCTCATATCACATCTTCCACCACCTCCTCTTATGATATATTGTACTTGGGGTCTAAGGTCATTGGTCCTCATGTAGCTTTTTTCTGCACACTTTATTTTGGTTAACCCTTACACCAACCCCTCCTTTTCCCTTTCCCATCATTCCACAAGCTGCTTGAGCCATTCCGACACCACGATTTCTGCTCTCTACTTTGGTGTTACCAGTATTCTGCTCTTTTCCATCCTTCGTGCAATCTTCTCCCAACTCAAGGGCCTGTTTCTAGTTTCTTGGGTCCTAAATGGACTCCACGATAAGCACACAAAGCAAAATGGCCAAAGCTAGGACCCACATAGGAGTGAAAAATGTGGTGTTTGTCCTTTTGGAGGGGGGGTGACCTTACTCAGTAAAATTTGTTTCCAGTTCAATTCATTGACTTTCATATAGTCTTATTGAAGAATGATTTAAATCAGGTTGGGGTATGTCTGTGGGGTTATCTTAATTGTTAGTGAATGCAGTAAGCCCCAACCCACTGTGAGTGGTGCCACTCCCTGGACGAGGCATCCAGAAGGTATACGTGAAGAGGAAAGCCAGCTGTAAGCAAGAGATCAAGCAGGCAAGGATCCCTGTGCCTATTCTCTCACTGCTCTTGACTGTAGGTGAGATGCTGCTCCTAAGTTCCTGCACTGATTTCCCGCAATAGGAGATGAAACCCGGATCTGTAAGCCAAAGTAAACGTTCATTCCTGAGTGCTTTTGGTCAGGGTGTTTTATCACAGCAACAGAAATTAATAGGGGCCCATGTAACTCACTCTTGAGTCCTTTGTACGATGTGGAAGACAGAACTTCGTGAGGGGGACATGAGAGGGCTCTGAGTCTTTCACTGAGATGAAGAAATGTCCCTAGTTGTGTTGTCAAACTTAAGCCTTCTGAAGTGACCTTCTTAGAAGATACAATCATTGAGAGGATGTGTTTGGGGGTGAGGGAGCTGTGCTAAAGTGGCCTCATAGCTTGTAGACGTTTTAAGGACACTTGACCATGGATCATGCCAAAATACGGCAAGCATTCTCATATACAAGTTCACCTTAGACTCTTGAGTTGTCGATTGACGATAAACATGTGTTCTACATAGGAGGCTTGTCATCTTTTGTTTGCCTTGTTCAAACTCCCCTCACTCCTTTCACACAGATGAGATCATATGACTTGTATCTGAGGTGGTATTATCCAGTTACAATGCAGCTTAGAACTCAATGTCTGGCCCAATTTTACCTTCCCGTCTTCAGATAGCCTGAATTAGGCCCCTTCCCTGCACACAGAATTTCCCATACGAATGTCATTCATTCCCTTGTTCATTTGCAAAGTGGTAGTAATCCAACAACCTGGTTTCTTGGGTGCCTTCTGACTCAAGAGTGTGCAGTGTTTGGTGGGATCAGTAAAGCAGGGTCTGCCCTTGTAAATGTGAGGAGCTTTTGGGAGTTCATAGTCAAAGGACTTCAGTGGGCTTTTTAGGGTTCGTCAGTTTCAGTTAGTAAACAACATCACGTAATTCCTGGGGTGCAGCGGGTATTAAAGGGTGAATTTCATTACACTGTTGGGGATTCAGAAACCAATATCTCTGAGGTATATAGGAATGGAATTGAATGAAAAGCCAGAGTTGAAGATCAAAAAATGCTGAATTCACTTGCTTTTTACCTTAGGAAGCATTATCCAGTTGTATATCATGCATATTCATGAATTTCCATTCAGTATTTGGGATGATACTCCAGGATAACTTTCTTCCTTATTGCTTCTGTTTCCATTTCCCCAGGATTTGTAACACTACCAATGGAGGCTCTCTCTCCACCCACTGGAGACTGGTGCTGCCTTCCTTCTCACCTTTGATTCGAAGCTGCTGTCTGCATTCCCACCACCTCCTGTTTGCCAGTTCTTTTCCTACAGCTGCTCACTGCACCTTACCATCTGCAGCTGCCCCTTCCTTTGCCTTAGCTTACACTGGAGAACTCAATCTGGGGAACATGCTAAGCTCAAATGCAGGAATATAGAAATTGCCAAGTGATGTCTGCAGTGGTCAGGATGTTTCTCTCTCTCTCTCTCTCTCTCTCTCTCTCTCTCTCTCTCTCTCTCTGTGTGTGTGTGTGTGTGTGTGTGTGTGTGTCTGTGCACTGTTCTCAGCGACTGTCTCCCCTTCACTCTCTGGGTGTCACCGGACGTTGCTTTGTGTTTCTGTCAACATCACTAAGACCTGTGCGTTCTGTTTCTGGATACTTTCTAAATC